ACGGCGGCGGCGTCGGGGCGGGGGCCCCCCCGCGGCTGCCCCCGCACACAATGAGGCGCACACAAAGCGGCGCCGCTCCTACCTCCAGCGCCTCGAAAGTGACGAAGCTGGACATCGCGAAACCGTCGATAATGTCCTCTTCGGCCGAGGACGACTCCCGCCGCTTCCTCCGGGGGGGCCGCGGCCGGGACGGCGGTGGGGGCCCATTGTCTTCCTTCTCGGAGCCCGAGGAGGAGAGCGCCGGGGCGGCCCCGGGGCCGGGAGCCCCTCCGGCGGCAGCGCCGCGCCGCCCGCCCTGGGCTCGCCGCTCCCGGTCGCGCTGGGACCGCGATCGCCGCTTCTTCCGAAGCCCGTTGCATCGCGCCGGGCCATCCATGTCTCTCGGCGGCTCTCCCTCTCGCTCTCGTCCCCCCCCGCCCCACCGCGGGCACAAATCCGGCTCTCCCCCGGCGGAATAACGGGGGAGGGAGGGAGGGAGCGAGGGAAGGAGGGAGGAGAGGGCGGAAAGGGGGTGGGGGGGGATGAAAGAATCCGAGCGCGGTTCCACCACCACCAGCGGCAAAGCACCAAATGTAAGAGATTCCTACGAGCGAGCCAAGGAAAGTAATGGCTGATCTCAGGTCGCCTTTGTAAAAAAAAAAAAAAAAAAAAAAAGCAGCCTCACCGAGCAGGCAATAAATCAGAATAGCGGAATGCTTTGATCGGGGCTGGGAGGGCGCGGATCGCCGAAAGAGGGGAAAAAAGCAGAAAAGAGGGGAGGGGGGAAGAAATAAAGAAAGGAGAGACCCGCTGGAAGGAGGGAGCTGAGAGTATTTCCTTGCACAAAATTTATTTCCTTTCTTCCTTTCCTTCCCCAACTAGAAGAAGAAGTTCCAAAGGGGGGNNAAATAATTAAAAAAATAATTAAAAAAATAATAATAATAAATAAATCTGCGGGTGCGCGGCGCTGCGCGGGGGTGCGGCCGCCCCCGCTCCGCTCTTTATCTCCGCTCGCACAATGATCGCGGCGTCCAGATGCGATGTTCTCAAGGCACCGACGGGGGGGGGACGCGGAACTGGGAACCCGGCCCCTCCGAACCCAGAACCAAACAATAAAAAAAGAGAGGGGGGGGGAATAAGAAGAAAAAGCAGCAAAACACGCCCACCCACCCCGGCTATTAATACGGATCAATCACGGTAAATTCATCGGATTAATTGTGGCGGAGAAGGGGTGGACGGGGGAGAGAAGGGAAGGAGGGGGGGGTGGTGACAATAAATCCGAGCGGAGAGGCGGCGGCCCCCTCCCCAAAAATAACCACGAGAAGCAGAAGAATAGGAAGAAAAAAAAAAAAAAAAGGAAAAAAAAAAATAACAGAGGTGCTGATGAGGCTCAAATACGCTCCAGCGGGGACGGCACCAGCGGGGTTGCGCTTTCCGCCGCCGCCCTCGCCTCGCCCCGGCTGCGGGCCCCCCCGGCCCGGCGGAGGCAGCAGCCGCCGGGAGCCGCACGGCCGCGCACGGCGCGGGGCGGATGGCAGTGGTGGCCCCCAGCGGCCGCCCGGCCCCGCGCCCGCGCCGGTCACGTGGCGTCGCCGCCGCCCCGCCCGCTTCCCCTCTTCACCGCTCGGCGCCGCGTGAAATGCAGCGCCCCGGCCGCGCGAAATAAGTTGCGGGCATGCGCGCAGGGCCTGCGCACTCGGCGGCGGGAGGGTGGGCGGCTCGCGTTCCCCGCTCCCTCTCTTCCCGCCGCGGCCCCTCTCCTCGCGGTCGCTCCTTTCCCGCCCTGCCGCCCCGCAGCCTTCCGCGTCAACTCGTCTCTCACCGTTAACTTTCTCCTCAGTTTGCGCTGTCCCGTCGTCTTCTGGCCTCGCTCTGCCTTTCCCGCCTGTACGTCAGCTGCTCAGGGCTGGGTGCTGCGCCCGTCCCTTCTCGCCTCGTGCTTCCAGGGCTGCCCGCAGCTCGAAGTTCTGCATCTTACCAAAATCTGGAAATAAAGCTCTTGAATCAGGGGCTGCGTTTCATGCCACGCCACATCTGTTTGTGCCTTCTTCAGGGGCAGTGCCCCAGCGTGGCCTCCACAGCGCTGTGGTGGCCTTCAGACCCACGGCCCTGTATTGCCCACCTTCCCTCGGGGTTTGAAAGGATTGCAGGTCCAACAAACTGAGCTTGTTGTGGTTGTCCTTCCCACCTGCTGCTGCTTCTCTGCCTTCTGCCCAGGGCAGTGGATGAGAGAAGAGAGCAGAGGGAGGAAAGCACGTACAGCTCTTGGGTCTGACCCCGAGAGCAGGGACATGAGGGGGATTGGAGGGGCAGGCGCTGATCCTCTCTCTTGTGACAAGCGATGGAATCTGAAGGAATGGTGTGAAGCTGTGACGGGGGTTCGTAAAAAGGTTCTGCACCATAGGGTGGTTGAGCAGTGGAACAGGCTCTCCAGGGAAGTGGTCATGGCACCAAGCTCACTGGAGTTCAGGGAGCATTTGGGGCAGTGTCCTCTGATGTCAGGTTTGGGTTTTAGGTGGCCCTGTATGGAGCCAAGAGTTGGTCTAAATCATCCCACCAGTACTTGAAGGGCCTGCCAGTACTTGAAGGGAGCATATAAACAGGAAGGGGAATGGCTGTCTACGAGGGTGGATAGCGATAGGACAAGGGGGAACGGTCTTAATCTGAGACAGGATTTAGGTTAGATATTAGGGGAAAGTTTTTCACTCAGAGGGTGGTGAGGCACTGGAACAGGTCACCCAAGGAGGCTGTGGATGCCCCATCCCTGCAGGCATTCAAGGCCAGGCTGGATGTGGCTCTGGGCAGCCTGGTCTGCTGGTTACTGACCCTGCACACAGCAGGGGGTTGGAACTGGAGATCATTGTGGTCCTTTTCAATCCAGGCCATTCTATGATTCTATTATTCTATGATTCTATGATCCTTATGGATGATTCCAACTCAGGATATTCTGTTTTTGTCACCTGGGAGCATCAGGACTTTTGCTAGGAAGGGAAAAGAATAAATGAGCGAGGAACAGCAAGCAGGAGCAACATGAGAAGAAGAACCGATCTGGTGTGTGCTTCAGACAGGGGAGAGGCTCGGGAAGCACGGCTTTTGTTTCCTTCTCTCCATGAGATCAGCAGGCTGATGTTGCGGTTTGGAGAATATGGGTGGGGAAAAACTGAGAAAGAGAAATTATTTAATAATCCATCTCTGCAAGAAGCTTGTGAGGGGCTAGTCAGTCTGCCTCTTGCTGCCTGCTGTGGGTGCTAATCATTCCTCTGCTCAGATATCCAGAAGGGCCACAAAGAGCAACACATGGGCTGGGAGCTTCGCTGAGTGTTTTTCCAGCAGTCTCCCTCTGGGCTGCTCTGACTCTCAAGGGATAATGCTCTGCTCGATTGCATAATGTGTTGTTTACTTTGTTCCCAAACACTTAAGCCACTCTGATCAAGCAATATTCTTAATATGTTTTAATACGAGTATTAACCCATTGCATGAAATAATGGGAATCAGGCACGGCTTCTGTTTCCAGAAGGCAAAAGACATCTTTGCCACCTCTTTCCACACATCGACCATGTGCTATGCAGTGACTTTTAAGCTGCTGCATATGGGTGTGAACCAGAAAGAAGTACAAAGCCATCAGTAATCTGATCACGTAGGAGTGTGTACCTTACAGAAGGCCACACTGCAGAGGCACATGGCTAGTTTTTAAACATTCTCAAATATCGAGCTGGAGAACATCACCTCCTAGATCTGACCTTAGATCTCCCTATTCAGATTTCTTTCTGCTCAACAGCTACATTTCCCTACCTCGCTTTGGGTTCTTCTGTCTCACTTGTAGTTGCCTGCCAGATCTATATAATCTGACTATACAGAAGAAGCTGTACAGGTATTGTTAAAGTGATACAATTTGTTTATACAGGCAAGCTCAAATATTACAAGGTCTCTGTCTTCTGAGAAATATTGAGCTGTACTGTATCAAACAACTGTTACCTGTTGGGCTTTTTGGAAAATAACTATGCAATTTTCAGGGCAATGTAATTGATTATAGTTTCCTGCACATCCATCACCATTAAAGTGACTTAAGAGACCTGTAGTCGGATGTGTTTCTGCTGACATTCATTGCACGGCTGAAAGTCTGCTCAGTCTGTTTTCTTTCTGAATGCACGTATGGAAAACAGAAACGATATGCGATTTATTTTACATTCTTTGTAGAAACAAATCCTTAGATTTGCATGTCTGCTGAAAAAAAAAATACGATGAAAAGCAATCCATCTAACTCATCCTCCAGTGCTAAACATTTTTCTTCTGAGAAATAACAAACATTAAAAAACACCGGTCACCTTCTTGAGTACAGCATGGGCAAATTATCCTTTTTTTCTGATCTGATCTAACATCAGCAGGAGCGTTTCCATCAACCTTAATTGATTTGGGAGGGAGGGCAAGTAGACCTTATTGTTGCACAAAACCTCAGACAGATGCTCAGGAAGATCTCTCTCCAGTGTGCTCTTGCGTCCAGCTGAGCATTTCAAGTGATCTTACCAGGAATGATGCTGCACACCTCCATGCACATTTGTTCTTAAGCTGCCTGTAAGCTTTTCCTCTAGAAGTACATCTTGCCTGGCATCTGGCATGAGAAAATAGCTTTTTGTGTCTTCCAAGCTCGAGGCAGTACCTTGCTGAGTCACAATTTTGGAGGTTAACAACTAGTGTAAACTGGGGATTCGTAGCTATTAGGTTAACACCCTCAGAAAGGGCACTGGCTGAATGTGCACTAACAGATCTATAATCTTCTGATTTGAGGCAGACACCAAAAACTTTATGGTCTTTTCGCTACTGAACAATGAAGAAAGAAATGTTAATACAAACCAAAAGCAACCGTTGCAATTTCTACATCACCATTGTGAACTGGAGCAAAATAAAATCTGCACTGTAATAACACTAAAAGGGGTTTTGTTAGGACTAGCCGCTGGCATGCCTATCTGAGAGGGATGTTTTGAAATAACATGAATATCAGGAGGTAATTTGTTGCTTGAGGAAATGGCAAGAACTTTGCTTCTAGCAAGAGTAATTTGCACTCTGCTTTGGTATTAAGATTCAGAGATTTTAAACAGTGGAGGCAAATATGTTTTTCCGGGGATAGCATCTTTTAGGAGATGGGTAGTCTGAAGTAGCAGAATGCGTGCCGTGTAGATGGTGACTTATTTTTGGAGTTTGATCTGGGAATGCACAAAAAAAGAGAAGAGAAATAAGGGGAAAAAAAGGCATTTTGTTATTGTTTGAACCCTGCTCTCACAATGCATTTATGAGAATAAGAAATAATGAGAACCAAAGCTCCAATACAAAATAAAAGCCAGGGTGGTTGTGTGGATGGCAGAGGAATGGGAAACAGTTCCATGAAACACAAGCAGTTTTACTCCAAATTGTTTTGCTTATCTACATTTTGCTTATAAGGGCAGATAGTTTAGCTTGGTGACAAAATACTGGACTGGGTATTTGGAAAGGTATTTTCCTACAAGGTGGTTTGAAACAGAAACAGCTAAGGAAGAAGGAGTATCCAAAGCGAAACAACAAGAAGAAAAAAGAAACTCAGGGCCCTTAAAAAGAAACAAAGTAGTTCAAGAATAAGGATGAAGGCAACACTGAAAGAAATGAGTTT